GGGGAATTGACAAACCGGACGAATTTATTAATAATCATCATCAAAAAAAAAAAAAAAGTAATACATGTATATATTTTAATTGGTCTGCTGCCTACTTTATTCATGACAAAGGGTTTCACCTGGAACCTTTTTGTCTTCGTGCGCTTTCAATTACAATCAAAAATGAAACGTTTATGTTTCATCAAGGCCTGGATTCCTGAAAGAAAAAAAAAATCTCGGCTTGCGTTGCGATGCTGCGCGCGTTCATCATTCCACGATTGAACAAGCAGGATATAAAAAAAGTCATAAGGAATTAAGAAAAAATCATTGATGATCTGTTAGATTTTGGTTTTATCGATCTTCGTGGAGGTGCCCTTTTTTTTTTATATATATATATATTTATATATATATAAATATATACATTTTATTTTGTAAATCATAACTTTTATTATGTCGCACATCAATTTGTATCATACAGGACAAGTGGAGCATTTTATTTGTAAAAAGAAAAATTATTAATTTGTAAAAATTAACGTACGCCAATTTGTTTATATGGCGTGCATTTTTAAAGTTAAAACAATATGTAACAGGTGACATGTTCATGACATCAAAAATCGTCTTTCTAGAATTGCGAGGGAGGGGTGAGGGGTGAAAGGAAAAAAAAAAAAATCATGAAATAAAAATAAAAACAAAACAAAAAAAGAAATCCTGTAAAGTAACAAAAAAAAAAAAAAAAAAAAAAAAAAATGTAAAAAAAAAAAAAAAATATAAACAAAAACAAAATAATAATTTTTTTTTGTCTCACCTCTCCCTTTTGATCCAATTAAAATACCATGATTGTAACACAAAGAAAGTTGGTCGTTTATCCAGTTTTTTTTTCTTTCACTTTATTTTTCAACAAGAAATGTTCATGCATGAGCGAACATCATATCATGTATGTGATGGGTGATTATAATTATAATATACCCTATTTTATACCTTCAATAAAGATTATTCGGTTTATAAACTTTTTATCATGTCGAATTTATTATATGGGTAACCATTCAAAATTTCTAGTAAAAACGCCTTTACGCATGAAAACGCAATCGGGTATCGAAATTTTTTTTATACTTTTTTGATTAATCTCCTGATAATTTAGAGTTTTACGCACTTTTTAGACTCCGGACTTAAACGATTGCTCCGATTCAACTTCAAAGAATTCGAATGATAGCGTAATCCAATCGTGGCACACCCGCCACACAACCTAATCCTGCAGATTCCCGAGTTCTAACTTTAATCATTATAATAAAAATCATTTTAAAAATTTATATGAAGGCAAAGATTCGGAGTCTTCTCATCATTTGAAATTAAATATGGTCAAGTTGGAAATTTTTTTTTTCTTTAAAAACCAATTAGATCAATTCGAACTTTTTAAACAGGTATTTCCACTGTTTTATACGTTATTTTTAAAAAGAAGAAACAGGTCTATTTTAAATTTTACGGGAGAGCAACATTCGTTTTGTTTCCTCAATAAATGCTTTTCACCCTCCTTATTCAATCAACAACAACAATTAACCAAAAAGAGTTATAGTAAAAGATAAGGACCTTCTTGAAAAAATATTAATATTTCCTGAAATGGTCAATTTAGTTTAATTTGCTATTTTAAAAATTACAAAAAGACCAAGGATGTATGAAACATTGCTTTTTTGTATGTAATAGTCGGGCCTCGGGACCTTTTACTATGATCATTAAATAAAAGGAATTTAATAAAAACTGAAACAGGTTATTTACTATAATTAACTAAATCAGGAATAGAGCAGCAGAGTGGCGGATTATTCACGGCACGTATGTACCACGCCACGAACGGTCATTGATATCCAATTTTGGAAAGAAAGAATGGGCCCGGACAGGGAAAAGGAACAACGGAAGGACCGGTTTGATAGTTTTACTTGCATTCGCGCGATTTCCAATGAATCAATGGATTTCGGCTAAATTTAGAATCATTGACAATCTGTAGGGATTAGATTTGGACCTTCATTCGCAAAGATCACATTGATCACATTTGATCACATTTTTTTGGGATTTCCGTGATAACCAAACAACTAGCATGTGGTATCCGTAACTCTAGATGATTGAAAATCCGACTTTATAATTAGCGACACCTATTATTGAATTTTCATGAATAACCACGAATATTTCTTTTTTTTTTTTAAAAAAAAAAAAAAAAGTAAGCGAACCCCGGAACGTTTTCCCGTAAATTTTCCTTTAGGAAATTTGATAACTAGAAATTTTTTTTTTTATTATTCCGAATTTCAGACGTTGGTAATTCGAAACTTTTTTTTTTTTTTTGGGTGCAACGGTCTTTTTTTTCCCAGCATTTAAACAATCATCAAGCTATCAATGAATTCAAATCAAGTTTTGTGCTAATATTGGTTAGAATTTACTTCGGAAAAAGATTTTTTTCAAGGCGGGAGTAGAACAATTACAAACCTGTTGCCAATTGTTACAACGTCAATGATAACGAGGTGTTATGTAAACGCCAATGTAAACATTCTCAAAACTTTTTCAACGTCAAACTTTAAAAAAAAAAAAAAAAAGAAAAAGGATAAAGAAACTGCGGCTCATGACAATTAATATTTCGCATGCATGTCGCTGCGGGATGATATGTTGGCCGTTCGTACGACGTAAAGAAGAGGTACTATTATACGCAGCAGTAATTGTTGTCCATTATGAAAGCCACGTACGAAATCGCGCTGGAGTAAATAAAAGAATTCTTTGGAATTCTTTGGAAAGTTGCCAGATAATTATCAATTCATTAACATGTGTAAATTCATTTTAAAATTTCCTTTCCTTTTCTCATCATTGAAAAAGACGAAACAATTCCTTTTTTTCCTTTTTGTTTATTTACGAATTTCACGCCCATGAAAAAAAAAAAATTATATTTACGCCTATAATGTAAATACGTCTTAGGTTTAATAATTTTGCGAATTCATGATTTAAAAATTTAAAAATAAAAAAAACGAATGAATTCGATGATGATCACATGACCACCCAAACATGTATAATCTTTTCCAAAACCCCAAGTTCCCCTTAATCATCGTTTTGTAACTTCTTATTATGGAATTTAATTTCAATGCATAATATATTTTTTTTTTGATGTGTCATTTATAAGGTTACTGCTATTCCATGAGAGAACAAAGTTTGAATCAGCAAAAGTGGGCTGTTTCAACTTAAAAATAATTTCTTGGCTGTTTGAATGGGGTTTCAAATGAGTAAAAAAAGAAATCTTTAAAAAAAATTAAAGATTATGAATCAGTAAATAACGGATCTTCAAACAGTTTATAATGTTGTGTTCTTTAAATCAGAAAACAATCTCTTTGTTAGAAAGACAATTTTTGATGGAAATTGAAAATGATCATAACCATTAAAATCAAAAAGTAAAAAGAAAATTAATAAATATTTACCTTTTTTTTTTTTTTTTAAAAAAAAAAACAATACGTTGGTTTTTTAATGTAAATAAATAAAGTGAAAATATAACGGAATAATTCAAAATAAAATTGGAAAAAAAAAAAAAAATATTGTTAAACTTAAAACCTTTACAATTCATTAATATGCAACTTATGCAAATGAATTGGTCAAGTATGCAAATGTAAGATTCCGGTAATTAAATATTTTTTTTTTTTTTTTTCTCATTGATAAGATTGTATCACTTTTTTTTTATTTTTATGCTTTATTTTAAAAAGATACAATGAAAAGTATAATCGAATGATTAAAATAACAAAAACTCAATTAAAAAGATGATCAATACCTTATCATCAGAAATAACAATCTTAATCTATTTTTTTTTTTTTTATTTTTTTATTTATTTCGAAAGCAAAGGTCAATGACGACTTGAAACTATTTCCTTGAACACGTGTATTAACCTTTGCGCCGACATTTATTTATACCAAGTATACGAAATACTTTTGACATACTATATTAAAGTTCATAGCCTAAGCTTAATACAAAGCACAGCATTTTATTTCGTTTTACTTGTAGAATTCAGGTAATCGAACCAACTAAATAAGATACATAAAATGAATCCTTTAAAGAATAGCATCAAAAAGTCAATAAATCACTAAATTTGTATATCCAATTAAAAAAATAATACAAAGAACATACAACTGAAAAATTTTCTTTTTTTTTTATAGATAATATGATAGACAAACAAAGGATAGTCGCCCCAGCATAGTCGTTACCAATAAAGTTAATGAAGTGAGAAAAAAAGCAAATTTTACAGAGAACTTTCAAAAGATACAAATAAAGCGATAAGTCGATCAATGATACCAAAAGAGAAAATTAATTTATCCATTGGAATAAAATTTATTTACTATATTTAGCCGCAGCACTATAAGATTATCAAAAAAGAAGATAATGCGATTTATCATGTATTACGTTGTAATTGGAGAAAATTTTGCATGGATTTCCAAATAAAAAAAAACAAAATAAAAAATTCAGCATTTTTTCCCTTCCGATGATTCCTCGCGCGCTAGTCTTCGCTAATAGTTTTTACTCAAAGACGTGGGCGTCTAACTCGAACGTGTGACAGAATTTTTTATTTTGCATACAAGAGTAAATTATTTTTTTTAAAAAAAAAAAACGTTGATTTTTTATTGAATTGATCTATATCGTAACATGTTCTTGTGAATTTACAAAAATAAACGAAACACAAAATAAAAAAAAAGACTGGAAGAAAAAAAAAACAATTGAAAAGATGAAGGAAAATTAATCTGGTTCAATTAAACCAGGAAAAAACAAAAAAAAAAGAGTATTCTATTTCATGATATTTACAAAATTGGTTATCTAAGAAAAAAATGTTAACATACATTTAGTATTTAATTTAATATTATATATAATAGCTTAAGAGGTTTTTTTTTTTTTTTTGTGAATGAGTGGAGAGAAGAGAATATATAAAAATATATATTCAATGCCATGGAATGATTTTGATTTATTTTTAGCATATAAAGAGAAAGATTTGTAATTAAATAAATAATAAAAAGTTCTTAAATCCATTTAACTTGCATAAAAAATTCCCAGAGTTTGCTTGCTTTATTAACATCAATTCTTAGAAGTTTTTGCGCATCACTTTTACGGAAGGGAAGCGATTTTTGCGCATACCTTCTAGCGGATGAGATCAAGGTATGCTTCGCCGTTAAATATTGTACAGGGGTAAGACGTAAAGTTGAAGCCACATGAGCCTCTTTTTGGTGCAAAGAATTATGATGAGGTAAATGTGATATGGATAACGGTTGTCCTTTCCAATTGATCTTTGGATTCGTACGAAGAAGCGTGGTCAAATCAAGATTTAACTGATCAATGCTCTTCATCAATTCATCAAATTGCATCGGAGGGGGTGGTGGTATGCGAATCGGTTTTATTTCTCCCGCGATAACTATAGGAGTCAAGGTAGATTCTAAGAGACCACGATCCGCCATAACTCTGGCGAGGCTGTTTCCTTTGCGCTTCCTTTCGGAAATAATTGGTTTCGATCGTTTTGTTTTAGTTTTCGTCTTGGTGATTTGACCCTTTGATGACGAACGTGGGCTGTGCGGTGGAGATGATTCGGTACCAGATGAACCATCGGTGAATGATGGTGACATGGGATCACCGCCGGTCGGTGTTGAATATGAATAAACCTTTGATGGCCCATTCCTTCGTAATAGTGCTTGCGGATCTTCTCTAAGCGTCGTGTAGACGTCCACTTGAAGGGTGATTCCGGGAGATGATTTGGAGGGAGCCTTCTTCGGATAAGGATTCTTCCTGATCCTATGTTTCTTTTCATCGTTAGATGATGACTTTATGGAATTTGTCTTTGTTGCGACATTAACGATAGGAGATGGCTTGTTTGATAAGGACGTTTCGTTCTTCACCTCGGAACGCTTAATGATCTCCAATAATTCCGGTGGGGCGTCACAGATCCTCATTCTAAATTTGTTTTTTGGTTTTGATTTGATAGGAAGGGTCTCGACACTTTTTCTTTGCTCGCCATCATGAGATGCCTCCCCATTTTTGAGAATGCTCATAATGCTCATGGCGGATGATGACGATGATGATTTGGTGACTTGATGAGATGAATAGATTGATGACTCTTCGGTTGTCTTTTTAGGTTCTGGAGATAACGGTGGTGAAAGAGGTGCGAAGGGTTTAACACCACCCACAGTAGCAATGGGAACCTGCATAAATAAACTTGAAGACATGGTGTCTAAGAAGAAAAGATAATAAAGGTATAAAAGTTCGTTTGGCAAGAAAAAAACCTTGAAGGGGTTTTTAATTTTTAAATTTTTTGGTTGTTTTTATTATTTTAAAAAAAAAAAAAAAAATTGGTTTAAAAAATTTTTTGAAATTTTTTTTTTTTTCCCTTAAACTGGCACTTAACGCGCTATATATATATTATTATATTGTTAAAATTCTCGGAGTTAAAAGAATAAAATAAATACCCGATAAGTTAAAAAGTAAATTTATAATATATACCTTTTTCAAAAATGGTTCACTTTAAAAAAATTTTTTTGCCAAGATTATTTGACATAAATAATAATAATCGACTCTTTTTTTTTATATAAAAAAGAAAAATCAACATAAATTAAAGAGTCGTTTAATTTAAAAAAATTTTTATTTTTATTGTATTACCAAATTAAAACGCCAATACGATATATTTTCGAATATGTATATATATATTTTTTTCAAATGCTAATCATTCCGCAGTAATTATAAATAGGCTAAAATTTGAATTGGTTATTCTTGAAGTGGTTTGATTGGATTACTGTTTATTATTGTAGAAATGTAGTATCTCTATAAGGAGTTCTATTGTAATTTGTATAAAGTTTATTCTTCACTTTACTGGAAATTAATTGAACGTGACTGACAGATAAGGAACGAATCTCAATCATGAAAGGGGTAGATGTTAAATAAAGATAATTCGTGATAAAAAAAAGATCACGCTGAGGTTGATACGCTTCCGGATAAAAATAGCAAATTATCAACGAATTGAAAAAAAAAATTTTTTGAAATAATGAGATGAGACAAGACATTTGAAATTCCCTCTCTCTCTCTCTTTCTTTTTTTTAAGGTTCCTATACGGCAAAATACATACCGTATTGGTAAATTTCGAATTCTAAGCGGAAAATTATATTCTTCAATAGAATTTCTATGGAATTTCCTGAATACAAAAGCAGAAATATGGCGTAAAGGTACCCCGTCCAATCTAACCAGATAAAATACATTTCGTTCCTGCTCAAGGAGGAACGAAAAAGACTTTTTTTTTTTCCTTTTAGGAGCCTCCCGAATTTTTTTTTTTTTTTTTTTTTTTTTTTTTTTTTTTTTTACAATAATGCCCAAATAATTTAAAATAAGTTACGCCAAGATAAAAATTATCCGTTTTGGTATAAGGCAATGGATTGATCAAAATTGCGCAGTTGTTTACTTGATTTATGACATTTGCGATAAGAGGATTTTCATTGAGAAAATACCCGTCAAGCGCTTGTTATTTGGAAAATACGGTCCGAAATCGGAAATAACAACATGATGATTTGAGGTTAAATTCATTCTATGTAAATGAAATTAAAAAGAAAAAATTTAAAAATAAAAATAAAAATAAAATCACATTTCCTTTTGTTTGTTAAATATTTGTTTGACGTATGACTTATTTTGTTTATGGTTCGGCGCGTAATTATTCCCATCAGATCACTGCTTTTTTTTTTTTTTTTTAAATTCAAATTTGGACTATCTGTTGTTGCATTATAAACCGAATTCGATATGAGGATAATAATCCGAATTAGTGTAAGAATGCCTACCATTCTTCTATATAAAGTCAATAGAACGTTGGGTGAGTGCCGCGAGCCGCGATAACGGGAGTGTCCGACCATGCTCAAGAAAATCGTTTGTTGTTGCTAATGGATTCTACATGAAAATAAAACAAAAGGCGGGGTGATAACCGAATGGTCGGTTATAATTTTATCCCTTCGTCACGTGAAAAATTGCCGGTGATCGTGGTGTCATTTTGACGTGATGTAGATCGGCACTTTTGCTTGAAAACTCCGGGTATGCGAACCCTTTCCCCCTGAATGTGTTCGTTTATATTGTTTACCAAATAAATTCAAGAAATGTCGCGTTATAATTTGTAAAAAAAAAAAAAAAAAAAAAAAGTGTAATAATAATAATTAACTCCTTAAAATCAGGTTTGATATATGCATATGAATTCGCGTTGACCGCATACAGTTATATTGCATCAATAAACCGAACATTCTTTTATAATTCGTTTCCCAAGCATGAACCTTTGTTTATATTAAATGAAGCGAGTACTATGTGTGCCTTAAATCTTTCACAACTGTAGTGGTTCATTGAATATCGATCATCACCATTGAGACTTGATGTTTTGCTTTTTTCGGTCTTTCCCGATGCGAACTGCATTATTGAATAGTTATCGTGTTCTCGGTCCTTTTTTTTTTTTTTAAAAAAAAATATTCCCACATCAAATCTAAAAGCCTCAGATCTACTGTCTCCCCTAACCCTCATGATGTCCTTTTTTTTCAATTCATTTTGAAACGGATCATGCGAACACAGACCATACGCCCTTTGGAAAATGTTTTTACCTTTAAAAATATTAATATATGCATTTATAATTTTATTTATATTGATATAATTGTAATAAAAGATTATGCTTGAAATGACGAAAAATCAGAGTTAAATGTGACAGATGACACTAAAAATAACACAAAAAAAAAATTATTGGTTCAACGAAAATATCGGAAATAACTTTATTTGTGCAATTAATTATATTTAACCCTATCAGTTTAGAATCAGCATTTCTCCCTGTCTTTGTTTTTTTTGTTTTCAACCCTAGTGATGATGATGATGATGATGATGATTTAGCTCAGGTTTCATGCAATTTATCTTAATCGTATCTTCCAATCCCGAGTATCCCAGATAAATGATTTGCGCAAAAGATTTATTCGAGAAAAAAAAAAAAAAAACCAACACCCTTTCAATTGATGAGAAATGAATATCGAGATGTCGCAAATAAATGCCGGGGATATGATCCGGTTTAAATTTTAATTATTTCCCTGCGTTCTCAAGTTACGCAACCAACATTATTTAATAAGCTTACAGGTAGGATTATGCAAAATATTGAGAATCTTATGTACTTTATTCGGACCTAAATTTTGGTGAGACATGATATGCATGACGGTTAATATGACGGTCGTCGCTCACATTTTTTTTTTTATTGTTTTAAGCTCAGAAGAAAGTGCATCCCTTTTTACGGAGTGAATTTTTTTTATTTTTAAAAAAATTAAAAATAAAATAACCTTAAAGATTTTTTATAAATTACACGCATAATTAATCAAATTAATCAATCAACTTTATTCTGTCAATACTATCAAATCTCCATTTTTATTTTTTATTTTTAATTTTAATTTATTTATTTTTTTTTTCTTATTTGTATCTCCCCCCGCTTTGATTTGAAGATCACAGGGTTCATAGGGTTCATGCAAGTATATTGGTAAATCACAAATCAACTCCGATGATTTGTTTAGGAATTATTAGTTGAACATGTAGTTCAACAATCAAATGAATAATCTTGGTATTAGAAACAAGAATCAAGAACAAATTAAAGGTAAAAAGGGTTCAAAAAGAATAAACTAAACAAAAACCAACAACTACTACAACGACAACAACAACGATTGCAACAACATAAAAAAAAAAAAAAAAAATCTGCATTCAACTTTGCGATGCAACAAGGTTAGATCCGGGATTTCATTTGATACAATCACTTTAATACACACGAATTCCGAGTAAGTTCTATGAAGATTATTATGATTATTTTACTTCATGCAAACCATTTTTGTTTTGAAAGCACACAAATCAAACAATATCACAATGATATTATTGTGTAATGCGAAAAAAAAAGATTTTCTATTTTTAAATAACAAATTAGGAAGGTCGTCAAGAGTAAAAAAAAGTTTTTTTATTTCTCCAGATAACTTCCTTATGCAAACGAAATATTCATTTTACAAATCATTCTTGGTTACATATCACATCAATCATGTTTCCTACCATTTCAAATGTAAATAAAAGTGCACGGTTATATTTTATTCAATAACCTTCCTAAACGTTACGATACAATCATCATCTTTTAAAAGAAACAACCTTTTGATTGAAAAACAATATTTCTAAATTTAACAAATGTCTCATTGTAATATAAGAAACGAACTGTCTAATGATGCAGGTAAATGTAATATTTGTGTAAATTAATGACCCGCCTTATCTTTTATCAGAAAGAAATCTGACACATTAAATTAATTATACCTATAGTACTGTACATCACACCATTGGTTTTTTTTTTAAATTTAGTCCTGTAGCAAATTTAAATGAATCGTTGTGAGTTTGAAATTTCCTTTGGTCTATAACTCTCGTAATCATCGGCAATGATAATTTTTCATTTTCATGAAACTTCTATTGGGAAAACAAAAAAGCACTCCCAACGTTTTTACAAAAAAAAAAAAAAAATCTTTGACAAATTTCATACTAAATTTCCTTATGAATGATTGATAATATTTATTGAATTCAATTTTCAATTCCACGTGGAATTTTGAATAAACAAATGACGTATGAGAATTTAAAAAAAAAAAAGGCTTTTTAATAAGAAGGGATGACAATGTATAAAAATTTTGCAATAATAATAATAATAATAATAATAATAATAAATAATCATAAAAAATTTTCGTATTATTAATTAATTAATTATTTTATTTAATTAATATTTTTTTTTTTTTCGTAAAAAAAAGAAATTAAAATTATTTATGCGTCACACGACGATAAAAAACAGTTATTCTATTAACCTTTTAAAAAATTTAAAAATAAAAAAAATTTACAAATTGAAAAACGAAAAAAATGCATTTGATTTGAAAGGGAGTCTATTCACAAAATTTAAAAAAAAAATAAAGGGGGAGAAAAAGAATTTCTAAAGTTTATGCAAGAGAATAAAAATTATTTACAAATACTGTTGATTTTCTTAGCTATCAAGTGAAATTTCCAATGAGATTTGAGCACGTTTACAATTTTTGTCAAAAGAACATGGACCAATTTTTTTAAATTGACGTGTGTAAAAAAAAAAAAAGTGTTTCTTGAAATGTTGACACAAATCAATTTTGCAAACATTCTAGATCCATCGGACCTGACGGAAGAATTCCCAGAGCTTACTCGCTTTATTTACATCGATGCGCAAAAGCTTCTGGGCATCGCTCTTCTTAAATGGCAAGTTCCTTTGAATGTATCTTTTAGCGGCGGAGACAAGCGTATGTTTACCGGTCAAATACTGTACCGGAGTGAGGCGAAGGATTGAAACGACGTTCGCTTCAGCCTCGTGCAAATCTTCATAATGAGGTAAATGTGAAATATTGAGGGGTTGACCTTTCCAAGCTATGCTTGGAGTGTAATCTTCCAAGACACTATGATCTACGTTTAGTTCCTTGATCGCTTTCATCAACTCTTGATGTTGCATTGGTTGTGGAGGTGGAATTCTGACCGACTTGATATCAGAAGCGATAACGGCGTTGAAGATCGATTCCAAAAGTCCTCGATCAGCCATCACTCTGGCCAAGCTATTTCCCTTTCGCTTTCGTTCGGGCTTGACGACTCCTGAACGCCTTTGTTGACGTTGTCTTCTCACCGACGGTTTTCCCTTGCTCTTTAGATCAGCTTTTGACCCCTTATCCGTCACCGGTTCGTGACTTGATTCGATTGCATCAAACTTTGCTGATGGTGGGGATCCGACCGACTTTGCGGATGACTTCACGGTTGAAGTATCGTTGCTTCGCATCATGACGGCAGGATCTTTCATATAAACGTCCACCTTGTGATTAATCCCTGGGGCGTCCTTGGGGGGAGCCCTCATGGGGTAAGGATTCTTGCGACCCCTTCGTTTCCTACCAGCATAAACTTTTCGATCGATTTCTTTACCGAATTCGGCATCTTGTTTGGTGGTGGGTAAGGCAGGTGACGAAGGCACGTTTACATATCTATCATCGCGTGGGTTATCTAACATAAAGGTTATACTCATTTTGGACAACTTTTCCGTTTCAGCTTGAAATGGTTTTTCGATAAGATTTGAGGTTTCAGATTTGGTTTCATTGATTGTTTCATGGGTTCGGGTTTCATAAGTTGCGACGTTTGCGGAAGATTTGGAATAAAAATCGTAAGGATGAACAACAGGATTCGACAAGGATGGTTGCGCAGCACTTTCGATCGACCTAGGTACAACCCTCGCCTCCGTAGGGTTGTGAAAATTAGCTTTACCATCTTTCATCGTTAACCACATTCCCGACTTTGGTGACTCTGGCGACTTTGGTGGGGAAGGAGGGGGAGAAAAGGGGGCACCGGTATGTCCCATTTGAGAATACATTGCGATAGTTTGTTTTTAATTTTAAATAAAGAATTTTTTTTTTTTTTTTTTAAGCGGTTGTAAAAGGCGGATTGTAAAATAAAGCTCTCGAAAGATAGAAGTTCGTGTGAAAATATCTTTTTATTTTCTTTTATGTTTTTTTTAAAAAAAAACAAGGATAGGTTGTGGCAAAATCTAAAACGAAGCAGTATAAAAAATATTTTTTTAATATAAATGTAAAAATGTTGATGAGAGGAGGGAGAAAGAAAATATAAAAAAAAAAAAACTTTTTTTTTTTTTTTAACGCAAAAAGCTTTCTTTTAGCTTTAAACAAAAGAGTTTTTTTTTTTTCAAGAGATCGCAAAGGGACAGGTGAATATTTATAGACTCGTAACGAGCTAACCAAATTTGAAAAGCGTATATTATACAAATAATCGTATGTTGGCAATGATGTGATCGTTATATCGTTATATAAATAATATGCATGTTAATATTGATGGGGTTTATTATGTTCCTTATATATGTTGACAAACAGAATAAGAAATTCACGTAGTAAAAAGAAAGCAAAATAAAATAAAAAAAATAAAAATAAAAAAAAAATAAATTTTAATAAATATATTATGTATATATTATATGTAATAAATTTATATATATATATAATAATTTTTTTTTTTTTTTTTTTTTTTTTGCTTTTATTAAATTAAAAAAAAAGTGAGCGGCTAAATGTTAGGCCAAGAAATTTGCGGATCAACCCTCTTGTGCTACCGGTATTTTGAACTAATATATCACACTATCGAAAGATACATACATATTCGGGGTGTACGGTTGTGATAATTAAAATTCAGAAGGGCTACTGGTTAATTTATTTAATTATTTTTTATTCATCCCGGATTATTAATTTGCAAATTTGAGGTGTTGGAAAATCTAGAATTATCTTTTTTTTTTATTCCCTGAAAGAAAAAAAATCAAAAAATAAGTGAAAATTAAATTAAAAATGAAAAAAAAAAAAAAAATCTCGTTGTACAAAATTTATGATGAAAAAACAAATATATCAGCCACCACACAATCATCCGGAAAATGTTAAAATAAATATAGGGGACGACAAAAATAGCAAATAAAGAAAAAAATTTTTTCCAAATTGAATTTACTTATAAAGGAACAAGGGCGTTGAAATAAGTACCTTGATAGACAATGAGACACGCGCGATTAAAAAGATGTTTTTGTTTGTGGGGGATTTACCTTCGTAGAAAAATTTGAACTCTGAAAAAGTTTTACTCTAAAATAAATCTCGGACTTACAAAGTTAAAGGATGTTGTTACATGTCAAGGTCCGGTTGATTATTTATAAATCTCTCTTTATTCTCTTATCTTGTCAGAGAAATTTTCTGTTATTAATGGATTTATTTATACCTAGGTAAATTTCAATGATTAAATAAGGAAAATTGGCAAGCAAACATACGTAATGTGCTGCAATGTGATGCTTCAACTCGCAAGGAAAGTCAAAAGGAAAAAAAAAAGATTTTCAAATGGTTAACTTAGATTAATAAGTTATTAGATTCGAATAAAAAGTATAAATTAAATCGATGTACAAACCATCTTTACTTTCGTGATTTTGTACTAAATGAATGCAAGGACACAAAGCCACAATCTTTCCATAAATCGGTCATACCATCAAAAATCACCATCAATCCTGATTTAAAAAAAATTCCTTTTAAAGATTTCCAGGGAAAAAAGTAAATATACGCCAATTAAGAGTGATTGATACCAACCCATATGAAAAGCACACGTGTCATCAAAAAAAAAAAGTGATGTAGAACCTCAAGAATTAAGAAATTTATCATCAAAAAAAGATCGGAATTTTTTTTTAATAAAAAAAACCAAATCCCAACATCAAATTTTTTTTAAAAAAAAAAAACGGAAAGATTCCATTAAAAGAATTTTCTTGCAAACTTCTTCATTTAAGGTTAATTGGGAATGATGACATAATATGGCGTGACATTTACTTCACCAATAAAATCCGAGTTTCACCAATTTAGGATTAGTAAACTTTAAAATAATGGGTTTACGGTGGTCATGTGAAGTATAAAATCAAAAAGGTCCAACATTTCATTGCCCCTATTCCGAGTAAAAAAAAAAAAACCAATTGATGAAACCTTTTTTTTAATCAGTTTGGTATGGATTAGCACGGATGTTTACCGAACGATCACAATTGATGAACAACAACACATCACATCAAATGCAAGTTTAAAAAATGTTAAAAAAGGGAAACACCGATTCTCAGCGCACATTTCCCTCGTCAGGTAAAGAATTGCTATCGAAAAGCAAGCAAGGAAGTTCTAAAAATAACGTCAACGTTCATGATAAGGATTGAGGAAATGAAAGTCATTTGTTCTTCAACAATCATCCGATGAGCTAGATCCTTCCGATCTTCATGCAAGGTTAATTGGATGGTCGACAATTCGAAAAAGTTTGGTGACTCATAATAGGAAAGATATACTCATCGGGAAGACAAGAGGGAATTTACGGAAACCACCTTGTAATTGTATGTAAAAAAAATAAGTGTCAATGTTCGAATTAACAACATAACATTTCATATGACAATAATAAATCTAACCGCATTAATGATAGACAATTATGTAGAGCTGAATTGAATTAACTTTGTGTGTTCTCAGTTTCCTATGTGATAAATTAGGATGCATCATTGTTGATTCTATTCATTTACATATATAAAGTTATCATTTTAACAGGATACAAAATATCAGGAGCAAAAGCTTGTTACAATCTAGACTACAAAATATTTAGAGAAACACCGAACACATCCGTGTTCCATTTGGGGAAGCAATCAATCAAAGCCACATGTTTGCCTTACCCTATCGAAAAAATAGTCACATTCCTATCTCGTTAGCTTTGAAGGGTTCATCCGAAATATAAATTTTATGTCCTTGATTTTTTTCGGTTCTCAAAAAAAAAATAAATAAATAAATAATGATGTGGTGACAAGTTCACAACGCGTCATACAAACGACTGCGTAAGATTTAGTATTTTATCGTAATGGCAAATCAAAACGTTACATCTTTCACGCGTGTGATACGTTGTCGTCGTTAACGTTGTTTATTCGGGACTTATTATATCCAAATGCCACGCAAAACCACATTTTGCCGGAATAGGATCACGTGCATGTATGTAGTTGAGCTAAATAAAGTAATTCAAAAGCCCTTTTCTCATTTTACCGATTTGAATTCAATTTGTAATTTGCATGCATTTTTTCCGTCATTATACAGCAAGAACTCAATGAATTAAAACCTTCCAAAGATCTTTCCAAAAAGTCTTTTTGTAACAGAAAAAAAAATAAAAATAAAACGATGTTTGTACCACAATCACATTTACAAGACATTTTTTATGTCAAGACATTTAGCTTTTTTTTTTTTTTTTTTTTTTTTTTTTTTTTTCCTATAAATTTCTCTTTTGATTGAGGTCTAGAGCATGCCAAGATTAATTAGCCAAGATTATCAAAATATCGAAACAAAGAAAATGGAAGAATGGATCATCACGTGACCCCGTGAAAATTTCATTTTTAACTTGAAACGTCCAATCGAATCAACATTTCATGTCGAATGGCAGATGATTGGTTATAAGTGGATGAAACTATTCTTTTTTGTTCCGAACTATAATAACTATAATTCAACTGTGTAGGTGTAATAATGTAATAAATTCCATCTGAAAAACTTTTTTATTTATGGTGTTATTTTCTTCTACAAATGATTATTGATCTTTTGTAATGTTCAGCCTATTGTCATCGTTCAAACCAATCATTTCAATGGTGAGATTCTTTAAGGAAAGGATCTTCTCTGTATCAAGATGGCGTCCGGAATTATGCCGGAAATTTTATTTAGAAATGATCATTTAAATCATTTAGAACCATTTGGACAAATATTTCAAACCTTAATACAAAGAAAAAAATTCAATTAACGTTATTTTAATCACTTTTTTTTTTATTTATTTATTTTTTACTTTTTGGATGTACAGAATATTCATTTGTAATGATTCCGTGTGTAAAAAAATAACTTATTTCATAAAAAGGTAGAACGCGTGTGAACATCGTTTCATCAGGTTTTTTTTTCTTTATAGGTGCCCTTTTCCTTTTATGATAAGTTTTAAAATTGTGTCACGCGGGTTCTATTATTTTTTTTTTTTTTTCCACCCTCTTCCCCTGTAATGTCAATTGCATAGCAATCTAACCCACATTGGTTTTTTTTCGCGAATGTTTTATGAAGATTTTTTTCTTTTCCGACTCGACAAACGTATCTGAAATGAGTAAACGTGATGTCGGAAAACTTTTTGGGGAAAAACCCTTCCGCGGCTAAAAGATTTCAAAACGCTTAATTACTTGAAGCGATTAAGTCGCTAAATTGCGTTAGTCTGATTTGCCGCAGCAATGACTTTTTAGTAGCGATCCTTGAAATAACTGGCGAATGATGTCTTCAACGTTTATAAATCAAAAAAGACGTTTCTACCCCTCTGCGATATCTCGGTCCTTTATATACTTTGGTCGCGTGCTGAAAATATATCGTAAAGCATGTTCATGTTCGTATATCACGTCGTCACGTAATTTTTTATTTAAGAATTAAAAAAAAAAAGATAATTTGGCAAATTTGAAACCATTCCGCTTCGAGAATGGTAATTAATGCAGTCGAAATGAGGGTTAGCGAAATTTTTTATTGCCAAGATGCGTAATGAATAGGTTTAATTCGGTATGGAAGTTTTTACCTCGTCAAAATGATGACTTTGACAAATAATCGATTGGTCCTAGGTTATCGAGTCTTGGCCATGTAGTAACGAAGTTTCTCAAGACTTAAATTTTTAACAAATTGTTTTTGACCTTAAAAAAGAATTCATGCCTTGCCCTGTTAGATGGTACAAAAAAAAAATTTTTTAATTATTAAGCAATGACTAATTAAAAAAAAACATATAATTTTTCATAAAACGCTATGACCACAATGTTTATGGGGAAATTTATCGTTTTGAAATGAATATCGATTATTAAATTTGCAGATTAATAATAATTTTTCAACGAATTTCGTATTACTAAATTATTTGTGATAAATTTACCCCGTGTGCATTAAAGTTTTGAATCTATATAAGAGAGATTCACGAATTTCGTATGTTAATTGGTTCGTTTGTTTGTTTACCGTGAAAAAAAAATAAAATAAAGAACAATTGTTCCGTACCGTATAAGAAATCATTACTAATTAATTCTGGGCAATAAGTCAAAAAGAATGCTGTGAATTTATTACATATAAAAAATAAATAAATAACATATGATCGGAAATAATCCTCTTATATTTTTAACAGAAAGAACTACACATTGTTACCCGAAACACCTATTCTTATATGTTGAACATTCTAGAACCGGTAAACAAAATTTGAAAATCAAGATATGTAAAGACAAATATATATAAATAGAGCGTAATTTCTATTTTTTTTTTCTTTTCACTTTTTTTTTTGTTTCATTGATAAACGTATAAAACATCCAATCGAACTAGCAAATATCTTTACCCCCTTTTTTAACCAAAAAAAAAAAAAAAAAGAATAAGTTTTGGCCTTTTTTTTAAAAAAAAAAAAATAAAATAAAAAAAAACTATATATATTAAAAAAAATAAAAAAAAAAAAAATAATCCCCCTATTATTTTTTAACGAACCTTGAATATCAAAAATTATTTTATTAATTAAAGTAACGTAATGTATTCGCAACATGATATCTATGATAACTATGATATTAATCATAACAATTTATCTCAAACACCTACGCCACCCTTATCAGCTCCTACTTCTCCAAATGATGACTTTACAATAAGACAAAAAGCAGTCTTTGAGGATGTCCTTTCGCTTAAAAATTCTCCTTTCAACACTCTGAACCATTTCTCCCTTCGCACACCTGTTCAAACACGTCAATTTTCTCCAAATAACAATCTAAACTTTGATCATAATCAACAAACAGATTATTTTCTTTCACAACCGAAACTTTCAAGCAATTCGTTATTGCATGAACCTCTTCAAGAATTCGCTTGGTGTGTAGAACGAAATCAATCCAGCACGAAATCTATTGTTTACAAGCAACCATACAACATGATTAGCACAAATGGTGATCCAATAAAAACTAGCACAGACGATACAAAACTTTCCACATGCTTCAACAATCATGAGATAGCAGGAAAAACAACAATTCAAACCGAAACAAAATTAAACATACCAGATACGAAAACTCGGGAAATGCATGTTGTGGAAAAAAACAGTTATTCACGCGTAAGATCATATCAAAAGATTGCACCAAACATAAAAGTGGAAGATTCGTCTTGTTTAATGAAAATAAATTATCTACTGAATTCACCAATCGATTCGCCTAGCTCTTCGACGTTTCGTTTGCTACATTCCCCTTCAAGTGTGCAGAAGACAAAAATTTCTAAAATTAAACGTTTCGATAAACCTGTTTCGGAAAGAAAACGAAAGAGCAATAGCTTGGCTAGAGTGATGCAGGATCGTGGACTTTTAGAATCCACATTAAATATTACTTCAACAACCTTCACTGAAACAAAATCGGTTCTCTTCTCGAATTCGCCTATAATGGAGATCGGGGAACTCAAGAAAAACATTGAAGATTTAAATATCGACATGTCGTCGTTAGATAATGCAAACATAAACATCAAATGGAAGGGACAACCTCTCAACATTCACCATTTAACGCATTATCCTTGGTTGCATCCAAAAGAAGCCCATGTAACTTCCATATTACGCCTGACGCCCGTACAATATTTAACTTCAAAATATATTTTAATTTCTTCCGCGAGACGTTACGTTGAAAAGAATTTACCATTCCGTAAGAGCGACGCACAAAAATTATTAAGAATAGACGTGAATAAAGCAAGTAAACTTTGGGAATTTTTTCAGCAAATTAAATGGATCTAAGATGGAACCTTGTAGCCGAAAGTGTGACAATTTATTTTTTTATGAATTCATATTATTTTGATATAATCAAGCATAAATGATATATATATATGCGTAAATTAAACTTCTTTGTTTTAACAAATTCTTATTTATCCGTATGCTAATTAAAATCATTAATACAATAAAGTTCATGTGACTCTTTTTTATTAAAATTAATGTAATTCGACTATTATTTTATTTTATTTATTTATTTATTTTTTTTTTTTTTGTACTTTTTGCTATCATTTTACAATGCGTCTTTGTCCCCAATGTTTATTCGGTCCGGATTTAGTCCTAAAATTTTAAAAACCTTTGTACGACCAAGAATGATCCTAAAGTTTCAGAAATCGAATGAAAGCATCCAAAAAAAGATTTTTTTTTTGCCGATAAAATAGTACGAATTAAATGCATTCATGAAATAGAACACTCGACCAACTTTAATTAAACTTTATTTTGACTTCTAAAAATAATATTTCTTTTTACAGTTTTCTATTTTAGATATAAAGGAATTTATATTGATAAGCTTTTGTTTAAATGATTAAGTTTTCACATTAAATGTAATTCGTTATGAATGACAAATTGGCTTAGAATGTAAAATTACTTTATTGGATATCCAAGCAACCTAATAATACTTCTCGCTCTTTGTAAGGTTTTCCGTGTATAACGTGCATAACATTTCCGAAATTGTCCTTGGAAAGTGACTTTCATGTGATGTTACTTATTCAGCCATTCGAAACAACTTCATCTGCCACTAATTATTTTCCGCTATCAGGTTTTTATTAATTTTTCGTTTCGATGGTAAAAAATTTTAGAATCGGACAATTACTATAGATTGGTAAAATTTTGTCCGGATAATCCTATTAAGTAAATCTATAGAAAAATATGGTTTGTGTCACTTTGTTCTCAAGTCTAGATGCGCGCAATTACGCCCGAACGCACTAATGAAAGATTTCACAAAATACCAAAGTTTCGACTTTTCGAACTCACAATCTTAAAGATCTATCAATCTTATAGTAGAACTTTATGTGTTAAAAGTGTAATTATTGTACTTTTAACTTTAGGGATCATAAGCGATTACAATCGAATACTTTATTTCAACTTTGAACTTTTTCGTAACCTTTTGTTAACTTGAACGTTTAAAAAATAATTATGAAATTTAGGTACAATCCTTTGAGAGCAAATATTATTTTCCTTGCAATTTCTCAAAACGGGAGAGTAAGCAATACCGTTGTTTAGATTTCAGATATCTTTGATAATTATTGTTCAAGGTTGAAATTCGAACCTTGTGAAGCTCTTCTCAATTTTCGGTGTAGTAGTATCTATAAACTTTACGAAAACTTCAAAAATGTGTTATCATCAATTGAACTCACGTATTTCAAGAATTTATAATAAATATTTGATATATAAGCTAATTTATATATATTAAAAAAAAATATAAAATACATCCATATTTTATTTGGAAAATATTGATGATAAATATTAACTAATATAATTTAATTTTAATTAACCATAAATTAGTATTATAAATAATTATATTATTTTTAATAAATTCAAATAAATTATGAGTTGTTTAAGCCAAGCATCTCAAGCAGTAATTTCAAGAAATAATAGGAAGAAGCAAGTAAATAGAGAGTGATAAGAACCTCTAATCAAACTTTCAGAGTAAATATTTTTTTATTTTATTTTTTTATATTTTTTTTGTTTTTAAAATAATCTACTTATGGGAAAATACATGAAGCTTTGTATTCTTTGTTTTCTCAGTGTGAAGAATATAGTGTGAAATCCAAATTATTTATAGTCAAGCATTATTATTCAAAATATAATAGATTTTTATTTTTTATGATATAATATCAAATGATAACTAATAATTAATATCTTTAATAATTAGAATACCTTGTCTGAAAATTTGATTAAAAAATCAATAAAGTTGCATAGTAATCTATTTACATAAGAAGATATAAGACATTTATCTGATAAAAAATTTTAAAATTATAAATCAGCATTAATAAATAATTGTGTTAGAAGTGAAGTAGATCTTATTTTACTAATACTAAATGAAAAATTTAAAAATTTTAGTTTTATGATTAAGGTTTAGAAAAAAATAATCATAGAATTAACAGTAACACTAACAATAGCAGCAATAGCAATACAACTATTACTATCAAACTATCATCAACAGTAACAAAAAATTGAGAGAATTAACTAAAAAAATTGCAGAATACATTGAAGAAATTATGCTGCCTCAATTTTTATAATCAATAGTATAAGCTTCATAAACTAGTTTTGCTTGAATATAATGAATATATTTAAGAAATTTATCAGGTAATTCATAATATTTCCAATAAACTTTCAATATATATTTCTTATTCTTGTATAAAAAATATCAAGAAAAAGAGTAAAAATTTATTTTTTCTTTTAAAAATAAATGAATTATTACTGAAATATACAGAAGAATTCAGATTTATAAAAGATAGTTAGAAAAAACATCTCTTTTACTATTATTATTACATCACTAGCAACAGTAGCAGTAATAGTAAAGTAAAGAAGAGTAAGTTAATGATTATCATCACTACTACTATCAGTAGTAACAGCAGTAATAATAAAATAAAAAATAATTAAAAACTTCAAATAGAAAAAAATTCATTATATAAAATGAAAATTATTTAAAAAATATCAAAAATTTAAAAAGAAAATCCTAATAATGAGAAGTTAGATTTAAAGAAATATCCTCTAGTTAAAATTAAGATTAAATTAAAAAATAAAGATCTTAAAAATGTGAGTTTCTTTTTTGCATTATAATATACAAAATTTTAAAATAATTGAAGGTAAAATTTATTTAATTTATAATTTATTATGTCTAATTTAAAATTTATTTTTAATATATTAAATTTATTATATAGAAAATTACCATTATATAAGTGAAAATGATAAAACTTTATTTTGAATATTTAAAATACCTAAAGAAAGATGTATTTAGTTATAATGCAAATAATACAGTTCAATCATATTAGACTTATATATATAATAATTTATATCATCTTTCAAAATTTAAGGAATTTAATTATTTATAGTATTTTATCAAATAATTTTGTATTTTTTTTACATAAGTATTTAAAAAACTTTAAATTTCTTTATTAATAATAAGTAATACCAATACCAGTATAATCATCAAAATAGCATTAACATCAGCATTAATAATTTTATCAATAGTATTAATAATATTACTATTATTATTACTTAAATAATAATAGTATTATCTTCAGTCGTAAGAACTTAACCATTTATACAATATTTTAGGATTTTTTGTAAAATAATAAAATAGTTTATCAATCTCAAAATTATATCTATAGAAATAAAAAGAGTAAATATAAAGAAGATTGTTTAAATTATTCATGAATGTAATTAATTTTTTTATTATTTATTTATAATGATTAATTTTAATATATATTTAATTTAATAATTAATAGTTATGTTAACAAAATGCTATATAATATTAATAAATTATATTTTAGATATAATAGCATTTTATTATCTATTAATATTTAATAATTTAAGTAATCTTTATTTTTTAGATCAAATAAATTATTTGATTTAAAAATTATTATTTTTAATAAACTTTATTTTATTTATGCTTATTTTATTTTATTAAATATAGATAAAATATTATTTAAGGTATAGTCAGACCTCCATATAATTATCCAATCAGTTCTGCAAAGATTAGTGATTTTACAGAGGTGTAACTATAATAATAAAACTTTTGCACAATTACTACTATATTAAAATTATGTGCAATAACTATCTAAAGGTTTATGACTCAATTAAAGATTTTGTTTTTAGAATTTTTAATAGATGTAATAAATGTGATTTAATTAAATTTGATCTAGTTTATTTAACTCAGTATAGTTTATTTAATTTAAAACAGTTTATTTAACTTAATTTATAATACTTAAATCCAAAAATTAGGTTTTATTAAAAAAATTATTATATCATATATTGGTTCTTACTTTTAAAACTTTATTTTAAAAATATATTATATCGTATTTTTTAGTTCTTACAATGATTCCTCTCAATTTTTATGAATATTAAATAATTTAGTAATCAAAACTTATTTATAAGATTGCAATTCAAGCTGCTTGATTATTTTAAAGTATTTTTTAAAAATTTTTATATCTTTTATGCTGAATTTATTTATTTACTATTGCTTAAAAAAAGTGATCTAATTTTGCAAGAACTATCCAAAAATACCTGCATTAATTCTTTCTTAGATTATTATATTAATTATTTTTATTACATATCTCTTTCTAGACTAGATTTATTATATCAGATTCATTTAAAATAGCTTCAATTGAAATTTTTTCTTGCAAATTATAAAAAAAATTCTTTAATTTATTTACTAATAAAGCAACATAAGAATCAGTCATATTAAGTCTTTTAATTATTTAATCCACATATGCTATTACTTGATCTATTATTTTTTGTTGAATTTATAACACATTAGCTATGTTTTTATTGATTAAAGTAAATAAGATTTCAGTTTTTTCAGTATTTATAAATTATCTCTTTAATTATATATCTTCGCACTTCTGACAAATAATTGATAGTTTCTTTAATATTAATTTTTTCTTTATTAATGTCTTTATTATCTTTAAAGAAGTTTAACATATTGTTATCTTATAATACTAACAACTGAAAAATAATATTAATACAAGATTAACAAAGGATTTAATTTTAATCAATATTTTAAGGAAAGTTCTAAAAGATTTACAAATAATTATTATATCAAAAATAATATATTATTAGGATAAACTTTAAGGATTTTATTATAGAATAAAGAATTTAGTACAATTATATTTGTTAGCATATAACTATTATTAGTATTTATTTTGTTAGTAATTGAATTCTAATTGTTTATTAAATTTTCTTATTACAATTATCTACCTTAACTAAGTTCTAAAGCTA